AAGTAGAATAGGGAAGAAACATCAGATTAAAAAAAAATTTTCCTCTGGTACAGATCCCAGCATTCACTAAGTATGTAGATTTCATCTGCTCGAATTAGATGTGGCATTTAAAAGAAAATAGCCAATGGAATGAAGCAGTCAGGTGCTTGTTAGTATGCACTGGGAGCAGCAGGGTTAGACCATCGAGTCAATGAACTCTGTACCTTCTCCTATGAATGGGAGGTCTCCTGACAACATCCCCAAGAACTCGCACTGAACTGAAAATGAATGGTGGAAGAGGTCAGTGTCGCAGGGCACAGAATGGGACACAAACACACGGGACACACACACCGCAAGGGGAAGACAGACACAGCACAGGGGCAAGACAAGGGGGAGACACGTGGTGGAGTCGTGGGGGCCGCCTTCACTCCCCCTTCGTGCTCTAGGGAGCCAATCAGATGACATGTTATGAAGTTTACTAAATTGTAAAAGCACAAGGATCAAAAAAGATTATTTAAAACTTTAAAAGGGTTTTTGGAGGACTTTACAATTCAGGTGCATAATATTATAAGTCAAACTCATGAAAGTGATCATTCAAGTCCCATGACATCAGACACTGAAAGCACAAACAACGTGACTGACAGAGTTCTAGGCTCACTTCAGTCTTGAGATCACCACGCAATCTTGGGAAAATCACTTATCTGAGCTTCGATTTCCTCATCTGAGCTACTGGGTCACAAACGAAAATGCAGCTCTGACAGCAAAGTCTGCGCACAGCGGTCCATGTCCCTGGAACACCAATCCTCACTGCGTGATGTGCTCGTCACTAAGACAAGGATACCCTGGCCAGCAGGTCACCCTGGCTTTGGGGAGGGAACTCTGGCTGTAGGGGTCATTCCCCACACCCACAGATTGTCCTTTGTGGTCAATGCTTAAAAAAAAAAAAAAAAAAGTACAGCATGAATCAAACTGGTAAGCAAAGTGCTTTTGTACATGATCTAGAATCTCTATGTTTGAGGTTATCAGCCGACACAACACACTGCTAAGGACTCTGGTTAGCACCCTGAACCTGGCAGATGAGCGCAGGGATGCAGAAGTGTCCTGGGTTGAGCTGGAAGTGCCTGGTGAACAACACAAACTCTCGGCCCAGTGTCGTCTTCTGCGATCGTGGGGATGACATCCCCAACGCAGGGGGAGCTGAGAGACTGCACGGACGGCGGACTCAGCAGGCCTGTGAGCCCCAGGGGCAGCTGAGCTGTGAACACCAGCTGCTGCAAAGCAGCCATGAGCCCTCTCCTTCAGGTGCTTCTCCCTGGGACGAGGCAGCTCTGGAATGCGCACAGCCTGGCAGACGCACTTGTTCACCGGTGTCCAGGCATCTGGGGACCAGAAGCAAACCCAACTTCTCTTTCTACAGCCTGCTTCCAAAGAGAGGGACTAAGCCTGGGGATCACGGATGTCCCAAGACCAAGGACACACGATGAGATTATGCTCTCTGAAGGATTGAACAATGGCCATTTATCCTTTATCAAAGCCTTCTGCTTTAGAACCAGATGGCTTTAATTCTTGGAAAGCCTTTTTTAAAAATGTAGATTTTTGTTAAGGCTGTAAGACTTCTTGTTCATTTAATTAAAAATTGGCAGGAAACTAGTCCCTTCCATGTTTTCTGTGCATAGATCTCATTAACACAGCTGGCAAACGCTGCACTTACTAAGCATGCACTTACGAGTCGCAGTTCAGGTGATCATTACAAGCGTTTACAGGCAGGTATTTTACAGATGAGAAAATCGAAGCTCAGGGATGAAGTGGCTTCTCCAAGGTCACCGCCAAAGAAAGCCACAGCAAGAAATCTGAACATGCATCTTCCTGACCCCAGCGCGTGAGGTCTGTCTTCTACAGTCTTACCAACAGTAACAGCAAAGCAGAGACGTAACAACAAGCAGACAGACACTGCGCCTTCAGCCCCCTCTCACCTCCGCTGGTTCATTTCTGCATCGCTGGCTGTGTTCTTCCCAGGACCCCAGCTGTGCCTCCGGAAAGGGGACAGAGGACGCATGGAGCCCCGCAGGACTGAGCAGCTGGCAGGCACGTCAGTGATGCTGTCCATCTCTTCTTCCTCTTCTACCTCGCCACCGCCACCAGACTCGTTCTCATTCTCGCGGCCCTCAGCTCCCACCCCAAGGCTGGTAAAGCCATCAGGGCTCTGCTCATCTCTGGACCTGTTCAACTCTGCAACCTGCGGCAGAGACACGTCACCACCCTGAGAGAAATGCTGATCCGGCGAAGCTGTGTCCTCGGCGGAAGAACTGGATCCCAGGATGTCGCTGGCCGACTGCTCCTGTAAGGGCTGCAACAGACAGGAAACGTGGTTGGCTCTGACAAGGAGTAGCAGACAGCCCCAGTTCCTCCAGGCCATGCCAAGGGGCTTCGTAGTAGACCCCAGAGGGCAGGATCAGAACTGGCTTCAAATACACACATTAAAAAAAAAAAATTTATCTGCGAGGCAGAGTTGGAGAGAGCTCCAGTCCACAGCTTCACTCCTCAAATGCCTGTGATGGCTGGGGCTGGGCTGAAGCCAAGAGCCAGGCACTTCTCCAGGCCTCTCACGAGTAGCAAGGACGCAATCAGTTGAGCTGTCACAGGATCTGCACTGGCAGGAAGCTGGAGGTGGGAGCCAAAGCCAGGACTCGACACTGGATATGGGTTTCCTGGTCAGCACATTCACTGCTAAGCTACACGCCCACACCCACAGAGATGCTTTTGAAACACGTGACAAAGGCTTGATTTGAATCCACCTGGCCTCCAGGAATAGAATGGTCAAGGTCCCCTCTTTCCAGCCTCTTCCCAGAGGAACAATATTAGAAGTACATGATTTTTGTTTCTTTCTTTCTTATTTATTTTTTGAGAGGCAGAGTTACAGACAGAGAGATAGGCCTTCTCTCCACTGGTTCACTCCCCAAATGGCTGTGACAGCCGGAGCTAGGCTAATCTGAAGCCAGGAACTTCCTCCGGGTCTCCCACGTGGGTGCAGGGGCCCAAGCACTTAGGCCATCTTCCACTGCTTTCCCAGGCTATCAGCAGGGAGCTGGACTGCAAGTGGAACAGCTGGGACTCAAACCGGCACTCATGGGTTTCCGGTGTCACCGGCAGATGCTTAACCCACTATGTCACGGTACTGGCCCTTTTGTTTCTTACAGGGTAAAGAAACACATCTGACTAGGTCCATCCTTTCCGTTAATGCCATCAGCTTAAATGAAGGCAGCCTATTTGCCTCTGGTTTCTGCAGTATGAAAACTCCAAGCCAGCATTTTATCAGGTTTAGTTTTATTCACAAACTTAAACTGAAAACAAAGCCTGGCCTTAACAACCGTGCTTAAGCTAATCTTCCAAAGCAAGTATGTGGCCACTTTGATTGAACTCCTGGGAAACAGAATGGCTTAGGATCCCATGTAAGGTAGGCTGCACATACCTGTATGGAAGAACGCTACTTTTCCCCAGTTTCACTGAGAACTAGCAGAAGGTTAGGAAGTCCGATCACACATAAAATGATCAGTCCGGGCAGTGGAGCGGCAGTGCCCTGTCCCGGGCAGCTTCCAGAGCCCTGCAGCAGCAGTGCAGCTCTGGTCGGGCAGCCCTGCGTCCTCCACTTGCTCAGACACCGGAACTGTCACCGGGCGGCTGAGGCAAGGAGGAGCCTGGCATGATCGCATCCCCCTTCCAGTGCAGGCATTGTCGCATTATTTTGCACTCTTCCAGGACTAGGAGCATGGGAAGGGAAGGTCTTTCTGTAATTTTTTTTACAATATTTTCCTAATTCTCTAAGTAGGCAGTTGGCTCAAGGTTTCAGTTAAGAGTGAAGAAATCTGGCACTGACATTGTGGCATAGCAGGTGGGGCTACCACCTGCAATGCTGGGATCCCATATGTATGCTGGTTCATGTCCTGGCTGTTCCAGTTCCCACCCAGCTCCCTACTAGTGGCCTGAGAAAAGCAGCGGAAGCTGGCTCAAGTGTTTGGGCCACTGCACCCACGTCGGAGATCCAGATGAAATTCCTGGCTCCTGGCTTTGGCTTGGCCCAGCCCCTATCATTGCAGCTGTCCATGCAGTGAGCCAGTGCTCGCTCTCATTCTCTTTCAAGTGAATGGATAAATCTTTAAAAAGCAAACAAAACAAAACAAAACAAAACAAAAAAAAACAAAAACCAAAAAAAAAAAAAAAAGTGAAGAAATTTATGATACTTAATGGGAAATAAAACCAATCTATGAGAACCAATGCACCGTTTCAGCTTTGGAGCAGAAAATCAGCACCAGAACATGAATCTTTTCAAAGGTTTAACCTAAGCAAACTTAAGCTTCAGATGAAAAACGCACCAGCTTCTGGGCCAGCTCTCACCGGCTGCTATCATGAGGATTCCTCTTCACCCCACCCTGTGGAATCCAGTTCCTATATTAACTGCTTGTGAAATGACAGGTGGATGGGACTGACAGGGAAGAGGGACCAGGAGCCAAGGCTCAACTGTTCCCACCACACAAGCAGTGGGCAGCAAAATCAAGGCATGGACTCAGGTCGACTTCAGCCAAACTCTATTCTGTCCCTCAGTCATCGTTAGAGAACATCTCACAGCCAGCATTCTGCCTGCACTGAAGTGATTAGTGTCCTCCTCAAATACATGTCCTTCAAGAACGTGGCCTTACTGGGAACAGGGTCTCTGACATGCGTTAGTTAGGATGAGGTCACACTGCAGAGGGTGGCCGTAGCTCCACAGGGTGGCGTCATCAGGACAGAAGAGACAGAGACACATGGGGAGACGGTCATGTGAAGGCAGAGGCTGAGATGGGGTGGGAGAGGGGTGATTCTGCAGCCCAAGGAACGCCCAGCCCAGGATTGCTCCCGAGCACCCGTAACCGAGAGAGGGCCTGCATCAGGAACCAGCTGTTGATTTCAGGCTTCCCAACCTCCAGAACCATGCAAAGGTAAATGCCTGTGTTTCAAGCTGGTGGGCAGGACTTTGCTACAGCAGCCTCAGGGCACGACCCTTAGCTGCCTACACCTCTAACTCTCAAAACAAGCCCTCAGATAAAAGAATAGGCTTTAGCAGGGCAAAAGGCATGGCGACACTATTCTAGAACATTCAAGGGAAGCTTCCAGGGAACGAGTGCTCGCAGTTTCCACTCCTCTACTTATATGCACTCCTCTCGCCAGCTAGCTCTCCCAGTCCGGAACTCCTCCTAGCAGAAGAGCCACCTCTCGACTCTGCTCGCCAGTCTTTTCTTGAAAACATGCCTCGCTGGCCCGCCACTCACTACACACTCATCAAACATCCACCCCTTTTCAAGAAACTAACAGAACGAGGCGATCTTTACACACATTTTGTTTTTTTCATTTTGTTTTTTTACCTAGCTACTTACTTTACTTGAAAGACAAAGACAGACATCCCATCCACTGGTTGATTCCTGAAATGTCTGCAACCGCGGAGGCTGGCCCAGGCCAAAGCCAGAAGCCAGAAGCACAATCCAGGCTTCCCACATGAGAAGAAAGGCCCCAACCACAGTAGCCATTGCCACTGCCTCCTGGGGAGTACACCAGAAAGGAGGCTGCAAACGGAAGCAGTGTCAGGACTCGAACCCAGGCACACAACACGAGATGCAGGCGTCTCACGTGGGATCTTACCCACCACTTCACACAGCTGCCCCTATACTGTCCATAATGGAGCTGCTTCTCCCGCACCTGTTGCGACATCTCCACTTTTTCCTGGTGTGTGCTTGTACCTGACCTCACTGAAAATGGCCAGGGCATCTCCACAGCTGACTCCAGGATTCCTTGCTGGGAAGAGTAGGTGCTCAGGGTATAACAATATTCTTATGCTCAAGTATGCTTACAGGACTGTGCAATTCCTATTAGCTAGTGGCTGTTACTTGAAAAAGGGAAACTAGGATGCAACTCAGAAGTTAAGAGCCAGCCAACCACTGAATATACAGTAAGTGGTTTCTTCAGTCTTGGAGCGAACCTGGAGAGAACCACAGTGAAGGCTGTGGCCCAGTTCCCCCAGAACTTCCAAGTGTTTAGTTCTGATAGTTTCCCCAACTTCATCACTCTTTGCACTGCTCTACAACAGAAAACTCCCAGTGCCCTACCCAGAAATCAAGCCCAGAACACAGGCGGGGCCTTTCCGCAGCCACTCCATGGAAACAGATCTCCAGACTGAAGGGTGGACAGTCCTGGCAGGCCCGCGGAAGGGCACTGCTCACCTGAGTCACGGAGGACCGAGGGAAAAAACAGCGGCTTTTACAGTTTTTCTTGAAAGAACATTCCTTTCCAGCCCCTGAGCCTGTCAGGTCTCAAGTTCTTAGAGCAACCAAGGAAGTGCACCCCACTCTGCCTCACTCCACAGGTCTGGGGGATAAGTGCACCCCACTCTGCCTCACTCCACAGGTCTGGGGGATAAGTGCGCCCCACTCTCTGCCTCACTCCACAGGTCTGGGGGACAAGTGCTCCCCACTCTGCCTCACTCCACAGGTCTGGGGGTGCTGTTTCTCCACTTGCACTTAAGGAGGGAAAAGGAACCGAAAGTCACCAAATCTCCCACAACTAGGACCTGGGGTCCTTCTCAGGAGTTCTCCAGTGACACGTCAGCTGTCAGAGATCCGTTCTCTCGACACTTCCATCAACTGAGTGACTTTTAGGGACCTAGGACCTCACTCCTGGCCTTCAGGAATGGCGTCATGGATCAGCTTAACAAAGACACTGGGTTTATAGAATCAAACTCAGATGGTATTTCCAGTCTTACAAGCATAGTCAAAACAGAGTTCTCTGCTCCACACAGCATGTAAGTGGGGTACAGTAAGACTTGGTTAGGGTGAAGAAGTGGAAAAGCATCAAGAAGCCAGACTGGAGAGGAGGGCTTGTGAGCTGGGTGCGTGGGAGAAGGAGTCGGCTGGGAAAATGAAGACTAAGCCTGTGCCTGAGGCTGACACATGAAAGCCCCCCTCAGTGTGTTCCCAGTGTTTCCTCCTGCACAGGAGGGGAACACAGACGAGGGATGGCCCTTTCACCTCTAACATCAGCCCTTCTCCTTAGGGCCTGTGCCATTTTGAAAACCAGCAAACATCCTCACAGGTCCAAGCAGAAGGCGCACCAAGAATGGACGCTCCAGGGACATGGGTGTGAAGTGTGGCTGTGCTTTAGGAGAACCACCCTCTCACTTTGACAGCGCCTGGAGGTGTGGCCAAGGAGCCCTTCCTGCTGCATTTCAGGCCAAATAGACTACAGAGATTTATTTTATTTATGTGAAAGTCATGGTGTGGGGGGCGGGGTGAGAGAGAGAAGGAGGGAGGCGAGGGTGGTGGG